GCAGTGGGTGGCACAAAAGCCAAGGGAAAAAGGAGAGGGAGGGAGCTTTGGTGGCCTAGTGGCAAGAAGCGGTGCTGCAATCCCAAAGGCACATGGTTCGAATCCACCAGATGCTCTGCTGGAGGAGGGGCAATCTCCTGTGCCAGTCGGATCTCATTCAACAGTAGACAACAAGAAAAAAAGAAAAATGAGAGGGAGTGCTCAGTCACTGCACAAACTCCTGAGAGAGAGATCAAACAACAAAAAGAAAGACTCCCTTAAGTGAGTTACTTGAAGGTAGATAGGGAAGGCCCATTGAGAAGTAGAAATCAGACAGAAACCATACTGTTGATGGGAAGTCTTGGCGGCACACAGGTTAAAGCACTCTGTCGCTAACCACAAGGCTGGGTGGCAGTTTGAATCCATCCGCCTCTCTGTGGATAAAGGTGAGGCAACTTGCTTCCCAGAGATTTATAGTCCTGGAAATCCTGTGGAGCAGTTAACTGAGCAGATTATTTAAACGACAAGGAAGTACTTGTTTGTATTCATGAAGCCTGGTGGACTTGGAAAAGGATGTATGTTAAAAAAGAAAGACGGAATGAAAATAAAGTCAAAAGATGAAAACAGTAAGATTTCGTTTTGGGTGCTTGTTACTACTGGGAGAGCATTTTGCAGAGCCGTTGTTCTGTTATAACCACACTGAAGTATGAATTCCCATTTTACAGAAGAGGGAACCGCTCAGCCCAGCTGATGTAAAGATGAGTTAAGACCTAGGTCTGAGGGGAGCTCTGGTGGCCTAGTGGTAAGGAGCTGCAACTACAATCCCAGTGGCTCACGGTTCAAATCCACCAGATGCTCTGCTGGGAAAAGGAGGGACAATCTCCTCCTGTACCAGTCAGATCTGATTTGATGGTACACTCACACAAAAATAAAAAAAAAAAAAAGACCTAGGTCTGTGTGACTCCCACCTAATTCTCTATTGCTGTCCAGTTAGTACAACACCCTGTAGGATAGGCAGACTTGACCCAGTGTTTGCAAGGAGGTGATCACTAGGGAAACTTGCCCCTTTTTCTCAAGAGCGCTGGTCAGTTTCAGCCAGCAGACCTGTCTGGTTGGCAGCTTAGCACTTACTCGCTGCACCACTAGGGTTTCTTAGTAGGACTCCAAGTCCAGAATAAGCACTTCATAGTAAAGTGGTCAGGGAGTGGGGGACTGTAGAAAAACGATGGAACATTTTTTCCCTAAGAAAAAAGCAAATGGGGGGGTGGGGGAATGTGCAACAATGAATTAATGAAAATCCAAGTTCTTTATAAACTTACAAAAAACTCTAAAAAAAAGGACTCCAGACCCCAATTTGAGTTGACCTTGGGGAGGGGAATGTGCAACAATGAATTAATGGAAATCCAAGTTCTTTATAAACTTAAAATCTAAAAAAAAAGAGGACTCCAGACCCCAAATTAGAGTTGACCTTTGAACAACTTGAGTTTGAAGTGATGGATTCACTTAGATTTTTTTTTCTTTTTAATGCCTGTGTGGTGCTCATCTCCTAATGAACAGTCCCATCTCCCCAGTAAAACGGCAATCTCCCCTGGTTCTCATATACTTGTGTTTAGTGCAGCACTGAACCAAACACCATGGCCGCTGTGCGAAGTGCTCCTAGTGATGCTGGAAGTGCTCCAGAAGCAAAGCTGTGACATTACAAAGAGGTTCGACTGCTTGTTGGCTTCTGTAAATCGAGGTCTGCAGCTGTAGCTGTCAGCATTTAGATAAATGATCCCAGCACAAGACTAGTGTAAACAAAGGAAATTCATGCCCCAGTCAGTACAAAACTGCACTGTTTGCAAAATACCTTATATTGCACTGAAAATATAGCTTTTATGTGTGTGCAGTATATGATACAAATAACATTTAAAACAGTTTACTACTGGTAAAGTTTTTGAGGTAACTAGTTACATTTTTGAGACTTTTTTACTGTGCTAGACTGACTCCACTAACCACTGCATTTTCAAGGACCAACTGTATTTCCTACCCTTGGGAATTATGCCTCAAATTTCTCTTAATGAGTTATTTCTAGAATAGACACTATTGCAACAAAAGAAGCTAGAACTCTTCCCGTCTCGCCTAATCCTTTGTTTTCTTCACACCAAAGAGTAAACAACTTCAGACAATATTAACAGATATATGATCATGAAATAAAGGGGGGGGGAAATGTATAGTAAACATACATGTGTTGAACATACATGTTGATCTCTTGAATAAGTGCTTCTCTGGCCTCTTAATACTATTATTTTAATGTTAAATCTCTAGATGGAAGAGGTTGTATCTCTAAATGCTTTATAAATCATTCTATTGTTCAGCTGATACGCCTCCATGGGATTAAAGCTAACCAACCCAACATTTATTGAATGCATGCTCTGTCTAAGTGACACTGAAAGGTGACACAGAGACAACAAAAATGAGACATGGTGTCTAGGGAAAGGAGGGTTTAAGATTTAGCGATAATTATGGCTAATCTATACCACAAAGGGAGCGCAGAAACAGAACTGTTAATCCAAGGCATAGAATCATGGGGATCATTAGAAGATTATGTCAGTGTTTAAGGCAGAGGCAGTGAGGACAGGAGAGAGAGAGGAAGATTCGAACCAATGCAGAAATACTGGCGATGTGGAGGGTGAGGAGAGGAACAAAGGCGGAAGTTACTTACTTTTCTACTGGCTGAGCTAAGTGCATGACAGAGCCATCAACCCACCAGTGAAGTCACAGGAAAAGCAATTTGGTCAGAAGGTGGATGGAGAGCCCTTCTCAGCAGGCTGAGTCGAGTGGAGCTTTGGTTCTCTACACAATGCCAGTTCCCGTTTTAGACACTCTTGAAACTTGGAACTGAACCCACTCCCAGAAATCACCTTTCAGGCAAACAGACTAAACTGCTATTGTGCCATCAACTCGCCTGAGACTCACAGCAACATGATGTACAACAGCTCTGAACTCTGCTCTGTCCTGAAGTCACCTTACTGTCTCTGACACACTTACCCCCATTAACCCAGTCACTGTGCCAATCCATCTCATTGAGGGTCTTCCTCTCTTGTGCTGTCCCTCCACTCTCCCAAGTGTGATGTCCCTCTCCAAGGACTGATCCCTTCTGGCAACATACCCAAAATATGTCAGTTGAAGCTTCAAAATTGTTGCCTCCAAGGAGCAGCCTGATTTTACCCTTTCCAGAACAAACCTGTTCTCCCAGCAGTCCATGGTATAGCCAATACTCTTGTCCAGCACCACAGCTCAAAGACATAAATTCTTCTTTCATCCCTACTCATTGTCCAACTTTCTGATGCATAGCATGTAACCACAAAGACCACAGCCTGGATCAGGCTTACCTTAGTCTCCAGACTGACATTGTTGCTCTTCCATACACTGGAGATGTCCCTGACAGCAGACTTTCCCAATGCAATTAGTCTTTTGACTTCCTGACTGCTGGTACCAAGAGTGTTGACTGTGGAGCCAAACAAACTCAAGCTGTCAACAATCTCAGTCTCTTCACTGATGCTGCCAATTGGTCCAGTGGTGAGAATCTTTGTTTTCTTGATGTTGAGTTTCAGTCTATATTGAAGGCTGCAGGCCTTGACCTTGTGCAGCATGTGCTTCAAATCCTCATTTTCAGCAAGCAGGGTTGTGTCATCTGCATAACGCAGATTGTTGATGATTCTTCCACCAATCCTGAAGCCACATTCCTCTTCATAGAGCCCAGCCTCCCAGGTGATCTGTTCCACTATGGACATAGGGCACATCCCTGGTGTACATCCTTCCCAGTTCTAAACCATGCAGTGTTTGTTCTGACGACTGCCTTCTGCTCCAAGTATAGGTTTCACATAAGCACAATCAAGTGTTCTGGGATTCCCATTCTTCAGCCACAGTTTGTTGTGATCCACAGTCAAATGCCTTCGCATCGTCAATGAAACACAGACATTATTCTGGTACTCTCTGGTTTCAGCCAAGATCCATCTAACATTAGCTGGAATATCCCTAGTACCACGGCCTCTTCTAAACCCAGCCTGCCCATCTGGCAGTTCTGTTGATGTGCTCTTCTAGTCATGCCTCTTCTAAACCCAGCCTGCCCATCTGGCAGTTCTGTTGATGTGCTCTTCTAGTCATTTTTGGATCATTTTCAGCAGAATCTTGCTTGCAAGTGATAGTAATAATATTCTTTGATAATTTCCCCACTCTTTCGGGTCACCTTTCTTTGGAATGGGAACAAATATGGATCCCTTCCAGTCAGTTGGCCAGACGGCTGTCCTCCCGATTTCTTGGCACAACTTCGTGAACACATTCAGGGCAGCGTCTGTTTTTCTAAATATGTCAGTTGGTATGCTGTCAATCCCTGGGGCCTGGTTTTCTGCCAGTTCCTTCAGAGCAGCTTGAGCTTCCTTTATCACCACAGGCTCTTGCTCATACGTTGTTTCATGAATTATGTGTCAGATAACTCTTTGGTACAGTGACCCGGTATACGCATGCTTTCCATCTTCTTTTAATGCTTCCTGAATCATTTAATATAAAGTGAGTAACACTCCTTAAAATAATTAAAAGAGACAAAAAGGGCAGCACTAACCTGAAAACAAACCTCAGAAGGCAGGAAAGGGGATATGAGGAACCCAGGGAGGAAAAGGGAAGAATGCAGTTACATTGAGGCCATTTCAACTCACATTTGAAACAAAATATATACATATATATATACTGTTGAAAGGAAAAACAATTTGCTGTAAATTTTTACCTAAGCCACAAATGAAAACTCAAAGACCAATAAGCTTATAAAAACAAATAGGCTTGTATTTTTAAAGGGGGGGGATCGGGATCTAAATGTCAAGAGTATCAATCAGCTTCTTCAACTGGTTCACTGAAAGTAAAGCAGAAACCACCAATTCATTAAAATCATACCCAAAAAATCTCAAAGTTTAAAGCAATTTAATGATAAATACATATTGACAGAAAGGATCACATTGTCCTACGCAGGAAGTGTCCATCCTCACGATTCCCAGCCCTTGCCTCCGGGCTGCTCGGGCAGCTGGAGTCCCACCAGGCCGGCCGACTCCTTCACCGAGCGCTCCCCCTTGCCATGGTACTGCTGGTGCAGCTCCACGTGCTCCCGGACGCTGCGAAGCAGGCAGAGGTAGGTGGCAGCCTGGAAATGAAGTTCCTGCTGGGCCCTGCACAGCTTCTCCCCGGTGACCTGCAGGACAGCAAGGTCATACTGTTACCCCCATGAGGTGTAACAAGCACAGTGCTCCACAAAGACAATGGCACGGCTACCCCTTGGAGCAGAAGTTGCACGAAGGAAACACACACATGTATGTGTATTCTTAGACGTATATAGTGAGGTGCTGCTTCGTGGCACATTGGTTCAGTGCGTGCCTACTAAATGAAAGTTCAGCAGTTCAAATCTGCCAGCTGCTCTGTGGGATCACAAAGTGGCAGTCTGCTTCCACAAAGGCTCACCCACCACTGATTGTGATTCACAGCAACCCTGGGTTATTGTTATGCGTCATAGATTCAACTATGACTCATAATGACCACATGAATGACTGTACATTGTCCTCTCCTGGGGCAGTCTCACCATCTCTGACATACTTGACCCCTCTGCCACAGTCAACTGCATCAATCCTCCTCTGGCACTTTGTAGCGTTTGAAGCATGATGTCCTTCTCCAAGGACTGGCTCCACCTGACAACATGTCCAAAGTATGTTAGAGAGTTTCACCATCCTGGCCTCCAAAGAGCACGCTGGTTTCACTTTCTCCAGAACAGACCTGTTTGTTTCTTGGCAGTTTCTTGGATGATACTCAGCACAACTCTAAGGCATCAATAATTCTTCTTTCATCTTTAGTCTTTGTCCAGCTTTCAGCTGCATAATAAGTAATTAAGAAGGCCATGATTCGGATATGCTGTACCTTAGTTGTTAGCCTGATATTGTTGCTCTTCAACACTCTGACAGATTTTCCCAAAGCAACTTATCTTTTGATTTCCTAACTGCCAGTGCCAAGGGTGCTGACTGTGGATACAAGAAAGATGACATTAACAACTTTTTTTTTCTCCATCTATCATGATGCTGCCTGTTGACCCAGTGGTATGGATTTTTGTTTGGCTGTTGAGATGCAATCCATATTGAAGGCTGTGTCCTTGATCTTCTGCAGCAAGAGCTTCAGGTCCTCCTCACTTGTAATGAGCAAGATTATTTCATCTGCATAACCCAGGTGGTTAAAGAGTCATTTTCATAAAGTCCAGTTTCTTGAATGATTTGTTCAGCATAACAGACTGAAAGGGTATAGAGATACAACCCTGACACACCTTGCTGTTTAGACAACAGCTTCTTGGTCTAGGCATAGACCCTACAGGACTAAGCAGAACTGATCTTTTATAGAAGCAGACTGCTTTATCTTTCTGGAACAGCTGATGAATTCGAACTAGTGATCTTTTGACTAATAGCCCCATCAGTGCTCAAGGTTCCTCTATAAAGATCAGCTTAGAAATCTTACAGAGAGTCCCGGAGCTGCAGCTGCAGAGTCAGGATTTTGCCGCCTCGTGCCACCGAAGCCTGCCCGACATGCATTCCCGGTACCTTCCTCATCCAAATCCAGTATGGCTACTCTCAAGGATCAGCTGATTCAGAATCTTCTTAAGGAAGAACAGACCCCCCAGAATAAGATTACGGTTGTTGGGGTTGGTGCTGTTGGCATGGCCTGTGCCATCAGTATTTTAATGAAGGACTTGGCAGATGAACTTGCACTTGTTGATGTCATGGAAGACAAATTAAAGGGAGAGATGATGGATCTCCAACATGGCAGCCTTTTCCTTAGAACACCAAAAATTGTGTCTGGCAAAGACTACAACATAACTGCAAATTCCAAGCTGGTTATTATCACAGCGGGAACACGTCAGCAGGAGGGGGAAAGCCGTCTCAATTTGGTCCAGCGTAATGTGAACATCTTTCAATTCATCATTCCTAATGTTGTCAAGTACAGCCCAAACTGCAAGCTGCTTGTTGTTTCTAATCCAGTGGATATACTTACCTATGTGGCTTGGAAGATCAGTGGCTTTCCCAAAAACCGTGTTATTGGCAGTGGATGCAATCTGGATTCAGCGAGGTTCCGTTACCTAATGGGGGAGAGGCTGGGAGTTCACGCATTGAGCTGTCATGGCTGGGTCCTTGGAGAGCATGGAGACTCTAGTGTGCCTGTATGGAGTGGAGTGAATGTGGCTGGTGTCTCTCTGAAAAATCTGCATCCTGAATTAGGTACTGATTCAGATAGGGAACAGTGGAAAGAGGTTCACAAGCAGGTGGTTGACAGTGCCTATGACGTGATCAAACTGAAAGGCTATACCTCCTGGGCCATTGGACTGTCTGTGGCAGATCTGGCAGAAAGTATAATGAAGAATCTTAGGTGGGTACATCCAATTTCTACCATGATTAAGGGTCTTTATGGAATTAAAGATGATGTCTTCCTTAGTGTTCCTTGCATCTTGGGGCAGAATGGAATCTCAGATGTCGTGAAGGTGACGCTGACTCCTGAGGAAGAGGCCCGTTTGAAGAAGAGCGCAGATACACTTTGGGGAATCCAAAAAGAGCTGCAGTTTTAAAGTCTTCTGTTGTACCATTTCACTGTCTAGGCTACAAAAGGATTTTAGTTGGGGGTTGTGCATGTTGTCCTTTTTATTCAGTCTGATTAAAGCAGTAAAATATGACATAGGAAAAACATCCGTTTCCTAAAGGTAGACATAGGAATGGTCCATAAAACCCTACAGCTATGTTCTGATGGTGGTACTTACCTTGTGCAGTTCTAAACTGGTGAGTATAATAGAATTCCACCACGTCTCAGACACCACTGCCAATGCTGCACATGCTGCAACTGCCCTTCAAACTAGAATGTTTACTGTGTTAAATAACTTTGGCCTAGTATAAGCTTTTTATTTTTTAGTCACATTCTGTGCTCTAATGTACAAATTCAATATTGCATGTCTTGTACATTATTGTTCTAAAGGATCTTATTTTGTGTACTATATTTATCAGAGTAATGTATAATGCAACTCTGATAATGTGGAGTAAAATGTAAAGATCTACATATAAACATTGCAACAGTATCATACCAACTAAAACACCAAATAAACCATGAACAGTAACAAAAAAAAATCTTACAGAGCCATTCTGTTCTACAGGGTTGCTGTGAGCTGGACTTTACTGTAATTATTGTTAGGATTTTGTTTTGTTGTCTATCTGAAAGCTAAATAAAGATTGTAAGAGTAGTATCACTGACAAGTGTCCTCAAGCTTTAAATACCAGAAGAAATCTCATTTCATCTACCTCAATTCACAAATGAAGACCAAAGAGGTTCAGTGGCTTAATACTGAAGGCCACAGAGAGTGTAACCACATCACTGCTCCCTAATGTTGCCTGAGAAATAGTGAATTTTCACCCCTGAAAAAGGGGGGGAGAAAGGGATGTATTATTTTTTATCTGTGTCTAGTAAATGCGGCATATGCCCTCTATTGCCATGAAAATGTGAAAAACAGCTTTGTCCTCAACAGTAACAAAATGATCACTTTTAGATAGAAAAGGTGTATGCATCTGTTTGTTACTTAATTCGTTTGTTCTCACATTTACTTACCCACTCGAAGGCCTAGATTCCTCACAAATCTCGACAGCCCATACCTACTGTCCCAAGTGAATCCAAACTTACTTTGTCAGCAAACGTACTTCCCAGGGGAGGAAGTTAGTACACATCCTGACCGTGATGAGCTCTGAGTAGTAGGAAGAGAGCTGACACAGATGTGTATCTAGACACACTTGACTTAGCCTGGCCAAGTGCCACTTAGTTCCTGGGGCCCATAACCAACACTCTTCCTATGCTCTTTCTTGATCTGAACATCTAGGAGGACCTGCCAACTGTAACGTGGATCAAGATCGCAGCTCACCTGCGAAACCAATGGAGTGGCTCACAAAAAAGAACAGCTCTAGTTTAATCAAACGTACCTTTTTAGTAACTAAAAATGTCTGAGGTCCACAGGCATCAACAAAGGCCAAAATTCAGGGAATGCGTAATAATTCAACAAAAATGTCAAGAACATGAGGGAGGCAAATAAAAAAAGTGAGAAAACACCACAAAGGCCAACATTCACACAGGCAAGGTTGGCTGAATTTTAATAGGGAATTCTGTTCGTTTACGACAGAAAAATCTTGATTGTGATTTGGCTGAGGCTCAGGAAAAGGGTCGGAGACCCACAGAAAAATCACAGATGAGCAAATGAAATGGAAAACTGCATTCTTCCCTCAGGAGAAAGGAGAAGCTACACCTTAATGGAATTCTCTCTGCTGGAGAAAAGCCAGGCCCCACTCCCATCAAAGTCCACTCGACTCAGAGGGGCCCTACAGGGCTGCGCAGCAATGCCCCTGCAGTTTCCAAGGCTGTAAATATGGAAGCCGAGAGCCACATCCTTTACTTTTCGACTAGCGATCCAGTACTAAACCGCTGTGCCACCGTGGCTCTTTTGTGTCTAAGGAAAGGGTAGAGGAAACAGGTACCTAGTCGGCTCTTAGCTGGAGGGAAACCCACCAACCTGAATCCTCACAACATGGCCTGCTAGCTCGCATTCCAGACCTGTTCCCCAGGAGGTCCAGAGACCCGGTAAGCCTCTCTCAAGGGCAAGTGTGTTACCTCCGTACGGTACAACTGTGATCGTTTCACCCCATTAAAAGTTTTCCAATGATCTCTCAGCACACTAGCAGAGTTCCTCCCCGACCCCCTCTCACGTGCCCACCCCATGCCAGACGCCAGGCCTCCTCCTGAGAGTGGTCCTCACCACTGGTTTTCAGCTGCAGTTTTCTCTCTGATCGTCCCCGTCCGCTTGCCAACTCCAGTGGACCCTTCAGGTCCAAGCTTCATGAACTTCCCCCTGAAAGCCCTTCTAACCACCTTTCTTCTCCCGGCCGCTCCCAGCTCCCACCCCTGTCCACTCCCTAGTTCCTAGGTGTTTTCTTCAGACGGAATGCTGCCCATCCTGCGCCATCCTCAATCCCTGCTGCGCCTGAATGCAGTGCTGCAGCCGCTGTCAATCCATCTCTTTAGGGGGTTTCCTCTTGGTCGTAAGCTAAATGTGGCATTCATTGTATGCCTCCCCCCAGTGCGCGGTCTTAAAAGCCCAGAGTATCTTTTTCACGCTCTTTTAGCCCTTGTTCCTAGTACGTTCTGGCTTCTTACAGATGAACTTAAGTTACAAGATTCTGCTGCAAGTCCCAAGGTTACTATGGTGGCTGGCCTTTCCCCCACATTGCTCCAAGATTCCTCCCCTAAAGCCCAAGAGGACTCTTCAAGCTGCTTTCCGAGCCAGCTCCCCAACTCCAAAGACATTATTTAGATGTAAGCATCCGATCTGGGGGCCTGGTACCCCGAGTGCCAGCTATTCCACATGGCCCTGCACAGGTCACGATCCCCAGCCCCAGCTGCCACTTGTAAGAATGAAACTCCTCCACTTGGGCCTCAGATAAGGAGCGCGGCCTCCAGAAGGCCCTTGTCCGGCCAAGCCTCCCACCTTCACGTTTATCTGCTGCACGGGCACAGAATGGACACAGATCCTGGGGAGGGAGGCGCTGCCCTCCCCACGGCGGGGCTGACCCTGGAGGGCGGCGGCACTGCGGCCAAGGTCGAGGGCACTGCCCTCCGCCCGCGCCCCCGCACTCCCCTCCGCGCGCGCCAAGGCGCGGCCAGGGACGCCATGGCGGGCGGACCCCCGGCGGACGGGCCCCGTGTCCACCCTGCCAGCGGCCCCCGTCCGCCCGCAAGCTGGGCCTCCGTACCCGGTGTGCACGGAAGGCCTTCACCAGGTACCGATAAGCCGGGGTGTCGCGGTACGGTCGGCCCGTGGCGGCGCTCAGGTGGCGCAGCTCCCGCAGGAGCCCTCGAAACGTGCGCGCCGGGGAGCCCAGCGCCGCCATGTCCGCTCGTCCCCGAGCCCGGCGAGCGGCGCGCTCCCGGCACCGGCCACGGCTCCCCCTGGCGGCGGGGGCAGCGGGTCGTCTCCTTCGCTGGACCGTGGTAGCCGACCGCCGAGCGGCATCGCAGTGAGTGAGCTAGACAGAAGCAAACGAACTCCGAGTGTACGGAGCCCTAGACCCTCGGGAAAGCCAGCGAGGCCAGCGAGGCCAGCGAGGCATGGCGTCGTTACCCGCTGACCTCAGGCCAGGAGAGGCAGGCCCGGCGGGAAAGACTGTGTGCTTGGCGTGGATCACTCCCAGGAAGTACTTTTTAGTGATTTCTACCAGGGATACGAGACTTCAGTTGTTTTGACCGACTTTCTTGGAACCTTATGGCACCTCTGGCTCAGAGAAAGAAAACGGACACTGCTGATTGTCGCGAACCGCAGTCCAACGCCTAGTAAAACTACATGTTTTCTCCTATTAAAAAGTCGAAAGAAATAAGCCTCCTACACTATGATTATTTAGAGAAAGGGGAAAGAAAGTCCAAGTCAAGAAAAGGGAAGCACCCCAGATGGGACTCGAACCCACAATCCCTGGCTTAGGAGGCCAATGCCTTATCCATTAGGCCACTGGGGCTTCTGTGAGCGACGCCTTCTGCCGACGTATTCAATGTTTTGGTTCCACGACGTCACTGACACCGTAGGCGGACTGTGACCTATCTCGGGGACTTGTACCCGGAGCTGACGCGGGAGCCAAGGCATGCCGGGACTCGCAGTCCAGGGCGGAAGCCGCGCTCCGACTCAGCCAGCCGCGCGCCAGGCGGCCGGGGAGCGGGCGCGCGCACGGCTTGGGAACGCGGGAGCGCGCGCCGCCGCGCCTGCGCACAGGCGGCCCGCGACGTCCCGGAGCCCAGCGCGCCGCTCGGAGGGGGACGCCGGAAATGGCCCGGCCCCTTCCGGTGTTACGACCGCCGCCGCGGTCACGCTGTTTCCGGTCGAGCCGCAGCGGCCAGTGGCTCGGAAGCACGTTGGAAATTGTACCCCACCCGTTCTGGTGAAACCGGATCCGCTGAAGTTTGGAAATAACGCACTGCTGTCCAGTTGATTCCCGCACTGCAGCTGCCCCAGGGTTTCCCGGCTGTGCTCGTGGGGCGACAGCAGTGACCCTGTGAACCGACCTGTCCCGTCCTGTGCCATCCCCGTCTCCTGGGCACGCCCACTGTGTCCCTCCATCTCGCTGGCGATCGTCCTCTCCTTAGCTGACCCTCCGCCTGTCCAAGCATGATGGCCCTCTCCAGGGAACTGCCCCTCCTAAGGACGAATGACAGGAAGCTTCCCCCTTTACCGAGCAGCCCTCTGGCTGCCCTTTCCCCGGGTCACGGCAAACTGTCGTAGGCAGGGGGGAAAGACAGACGGGGGACACTCCGGAATGGGGGCCAGGGCAGGGGGCTGACCGCCGGAGAACTGCAGCCCCTACGCTGGCCTTTCTGGGGTTGTAAACGAAGGAAAATCAAGGGACTAGAAAACAACAAAAAAGGATCATGGGGAAGTAAATCACAGAAATCCTTCGTAAATAAGGCCGAATCTTCTCTATTGCTTACCTTATGCTTATCTCAGGAGGGAGGGATTTAGTAAATACAAACTAAGAATCGTGTAGACCCTTAAGGTCTGCCTTGGTGCCTCCCCCTGTGAGCATTTAAGGACTCTCTCCCTCCTATCCTGATCTATAGCATTTGGTTTATTATTAAATGTTCTATTCGGCTTCCCACTGCGAATGTCATCTACGGGTTCCCTGAAAGACCGCCTCGTCTTTCCCCAGGAAGCAGTGGTCACCGCTGACCTTTTTGGTTAGTAGCCTTGTGTTCAACTTAAACGTGTTAGGGATGAATGACACTAGTTCTAGCTTAAGCTCCCAGCATCTCCACCGTCAAAGCCGTGACGGCTTACCTTTCTCCTCCCTCGCACGCTGCCCTTGGTTTGCCCTCAGCCTCTGCTCCAGGGCTGCATTCTGGCTACTTGTCTGCCCTCCACATTCGCTCTGCCTTAACTGCTTGTATCAAAACGTCCTGTCTATGCCTGGGACACCACGTCAGTCTGGGCAGTGACACACTCCTCTAGGCCTGTGGCCGGCATGGTGATTCACCCTCTGGACAGAGTTCATCACGCTCTTCGGGTGCATCTCCAGGTCCCTCATACACGTGAACGCCAAGAAATAACTAGGTCCGGGCTTGCAGCGCCATGTGGTCTGTGTCCGTTTATCAAGAACAAATGGCTGTTTTTTAAAATAATAATCCTTTTGCTCACTATTATGGATTGAATTGTGTTCTCCAGAAGAGCTGATGAAGCCCCCACGCTCCACCTTGTTTAGAAATGGGAAGTTTTTAAACTTCCATTGAAGTTGAGAACTTTTTCTTTGGCTATCAGTCATATTTGATTATTTTTATTTTCTAATTTGTGGTTGTAGTTTGTGTGCTAGTTTACAGAGAAGATTCACGTTCCACTCAATTTATACACAATTTCTTGTTTCAGGACATTGGTTTGTAACTCTCCATGTAACTACTTTCTCGGCTCCTCTCTTCATTCTGTATTTCCAGTTATCCTTCCCTGCCTGTAAGCTTTGTTTCTGGAGAAAGGCTGCCTCTGTGGCCTTGTGTGGTTGACTGAACAAAGGAATACATTCCTTCCTGGTCATTAATCATGTTATAAACTTGTTCTATTATTTGCCTGGGAGCTGCTCTCCACAGGTGAGTTCAATTCCTGGTTTGGAAGGTGACTAGGGGCGACAGTCTCAGATGTTCTGCCCATCCATCAGAGCAGTAAGTTGCATCATCATGATTTCAGATTTTGTTCTGTGTTCTCCCTTTGTTTTTGTCTCCCTCTTTGTCCAGGACTTTGTATTGGGAATAGTGGCGGCCTGGTAACATCTGATGCTTCTGGTCTCAGAGTAGTTCAGGCTCTGGTTCATGTGATCTATTAGGCCTCGGCTGCCAACCCCTTCTGAATGACATAAGTACAGAAACAGATGAGAATCTACCTACAAGAAAAAGAATGCCAAGAAACACTTGAGAGCTGCCAGAATGTGTGAGAGACAAGGAAGGGTATTCCTTTGGAACCAACCAAGACAGAGCATGGCTTGGCTGATGTCCTGAATTCTCAGGAGTCACATCCAGAAGTCACTGGAAACCGTTCACAATCATCCAGGGGGTCTGCAAGGCTTTAGAGTCTGACTGCCCCCAGTGGGTTTCCAAGGCTGGAACTCCCATGGGAGCAGACTGCTTATCTTTCTCTCCTGGAGTGGACAATGGATTCAGGTTGTTAGAGGTGCAAGACCCTTGGGATACCAACACAACTCCCTATAGACTATGCCATCAGCTCTCCCTAGGATCACAATAAGAATAACATCAACCATTTATTAGACAGTTTCTCTGTGCCAGACACTTTGCTAAATACTTTATATACTTAACACACTATATATACATACCCACATAGTCAGAATCCAAAGACCAGGATGCTATGTGAAAGCTGGTGTCATGCAAACAGGAAGGATGACATCATTATAGAACTGCCAAAGCGGTCAGACCGTCCAAGGTGACACAGACTTTACTCATCACACCCAGCACTGCTATCACCTCAGCATCCATTACTGCCAGGTTCATGTCATTAATGTGCAAAATAGTCCAATAGCAGATTTTTATGACTATCATAAATGTGCAATGTTGGATAATGACAGAAATCTTGTGAAATAGGTATTATTCCTGTAATTCTGCAAAAAATACAAATTTTAATCATAAAATACAAAATAAAAGTGCTTTCTGAATTGATACATCGTGTTGCATCAAAAATGTTCCAAGTAACAAATACATTAACATGAGGATAGTTTATTCTTCTGTGATTTAATGTTTTCAGAAAAGTTCGATTTTCATTCATTCACTGCTGCACGTTTTCCTCCTTCCCCCTACTTTTCCTCTTCCCCCAGTTAACTTTTTTAAAAAATATTCATTAATTGTTGTTACACAATTCCCTCCCTCTTGCCCTCCCCACCTCTTCCCCCAGTCCACTCTGCTATGCACCTCTTATTCCGGTCTGTTGTCATATATACAATGCCTAATCATATATTCCTTTTAGAACAGTTCTTAATCTGTTCCAATGCAGTGTTCATTATCCCCTCTTTTCTTGGCTTAGCCCCAACCCCCCATGTCAGTCCTCTTTTATAGCAGTGGTATTTGTCCTGTTGTGACTGAGATATTTATTTCACTCAGAATAAAGAACGGTTTATTTTAAGTTGTGGTCTCCATTACATTAATACTCATGATGATTTTGAAAACAGTTGTAAATTAGTCAAAGTTCAGATTCGTACACATAAACCTGCATGAGACTTCTTTGCTACTTTGACATTTCCGCGAGTGATCTCCACAGGCATCTCAAAACTTGCGTAGGTTGAGGTCATGTGGGGCTGATGTACAGCGGAAGCAAGGAGAGCCTTGATAAAGTAATGGAGAGTGTGCAGTCTAGTGTGAGGCCCCACAGGGGCGCAACTGTATTGCAGCTCTCCTCTGGGATGTTTTTGGAGAGGAAGGCCAGCCCAGCCTGCTTAACTCTTCTCAAAGACTGTACCCAGGACAAGAATCAGGGCTCAGATTCCAGGACCGGAGTGCTGCTCATTACGCCTTGGTACTTCACAGGCACACAGACAACTTGGTTCAGTTAACGGAATGTGCCTTGGGGGAATGCTCTTCCAGTTGTATTTTCAAATGATGAGAGGGTCCAGTTCCTATGATCAGAGTTTACCTGTGCCAACTCTTGGTCTGGTGGCAGCCAGCCTAGGGCTGAGTAGGATATCAAGGAAGAAACTGGTTCTCACAATGAATCAAAGTGCAAGCAGGAACTACTGGAGTAGGAGGCTCTGAGGTCTTCTGACCACCCACGGGGCATGCTCTGCCCCCACTTCTCCTGGACAGAGTCACTGGAATTGGGGTTTCCCAGTGCATATGGAAGGTTTGTTTGCACTGTACTACTGGG